TCCCTTGAAGCCATCGTCACCCCACCCCTCCCCCCACATCAGTGCTGACCTCTAGAACTTCCAGAACATCCTAACGTACCTGAAATGCTTCTGTCTCACTGTGGAACGCACCGCACTCACAGTACTTACTTGTCTTTTGTCTCATGCCGTGTCCCTGACAGACTGACAAAGACAGGCTCTCAAATTGGGGATAGAGCTCCCAGGGAGAGGTGGCGTGGGGGTCTGGGTGTCTAGCAGCTACACCCCTGGTCAAGATGCCTGCCTGTTCCCCAGCTGTGGGGATGACGGGAGAAGGGGGGCCAAGCTCAACTATTGTGGTTACTACAGACCCCTGAAGTTAAGGCCCGAGACTGGTTCTTTCTACCTCTAGCTTGGTCCAACCATTAGAGAACTCCCCAGGGCCATCAAATTGCTTCTGGCTCATAGGGACCCTCCCTCCAGGGCAGAGGAGAGCTGCTCCCTAGGGTGCCTGAGGCTTTCCTCTGTAGAGTGGCTGGTGGATTTGAACAGCTGACCTTGCTGTTAGCAGTTCACTGCTCAACCCACTACATCACCAGGGCTCCTTAGAAATCATGAGCTAGACCTCTCTTTCCCTGATTTGATTTTTTTTTTTTTTGAATGTGTAAGCAGACCAAGCATCCATCTCAGGCTTCTCACAGTCTCCCCCACCCTAAAGGCCAAGGCAGACCTTGTCACAATGCAGGACAGTACACTAGGAGGACAAAGAGACAATCCCATGCTGGTGTTAGCGAGAAGAACGAAAGGTCCCTGAGGGCACAAGGGACAGGCCAAGGCCCTTCAGAAAAACCAGAGACTCCAAGCATGTTTTGGAGTGTGGGGGCATTCTCAAAGGTAGGACTGTGGGGGCATTCTACGCTAGACCCCACACAGTTCTGAGCCTGGGCAGAGGGAGAGAAAGATTATCAAGTGGCATAGGCAAGGGATTGGCTCTACTTTGCAAATGAAAACAGAACAAAACAAATACAAGCAAATGTACAAGAAGCTAGCCTAGCTAGCCTAATGCTACCCATCCAGGGCACAGCTACCCACGCCCGACCGGACACAGTGCTTGTCTGACTCAGAAACCCACATGCTTCATGGTTAGTTACTGGATTCCTCTGACTTGACAACACGTGGATCCCCAAAACACAGCCACAGGCCAGGTTTGGAAAACTGCACTAAAGGTGAAGCATTAGGTGTGTATGTGGACCCCAAACTTTCTACTACAAGAGCAAACCCAGACTTAGAAATGACAGGGCAATACTTGTTTATAACAAGATCCGAGTCAGCAGATTGTTGTCAAATTGAAGAGAAAATTTAAGTATTACTGGTGAGAATTCAGACACTTGAGAACAGGTCTCTGGGGGTTAGGAAAATCACTCCCCCTAGGCCCCCGCAGACTGTCCCCATGAGGAGGGGGAGAGAGGTGGGGATTCCACAGGGTGGAGGCAGGAGGAAGCCCTGTGGGGTGTGAAAAGGAGGGCCCTACAGAGGAGCAGGGCCTAGAGCCAGCTCCCCACCCACCCCAGCCTTCTCCTGGGTGGTGCACATTCCCAGCTGAGTTGGGGTTACGTGTAAAAAGTGATAAAGCAGGTCTAAAAGGCAACGTTAGATTGGTTATCTGGAGGGTAAACACAGAAGGCAATGAGCCCTGAGCAGGCCACCCCAATTCTCCCTTGGACTAAGCTTCAGTACTGAACACTTGGACAATTAGGAAATGGGTCGATTTCTTTTAGAATAAAAACAAAATTTTTAAAAACTAATGAATACAGGGTTTCCTGTTCAAAGCGCTGGTCTGCGTGCCCTCTGGCCCCGTAGAGACTCACCAGGCACCCACGCTGCCGTCAGAGCATTTAACTATGAGGCTTGGGCAGTCGGAGGAGAAGGGCGTGTTCTCAGGAGCTACAGACCCGCCTGCTGTTTTATGAACATACAAGTCTAGGAGAGCAGCAAAGAATCCAGGCCAGCGTTTGTCAGTGGGGGGTGATTTCCACCCCCAGTGAAAGTGTTTGGGGCGTGCTGGTTCCCCATCAATGCACCTTATGTGCAGCTACTACCCATCTGTCAGTGAAGGCTGTATACTGCTAGAACGCTGAATAGGTGTCAGCAGAACTGCCAGATGAAGAGGGGCTAGGAAGAAAGGCCTGGCTAACTACTTCTGAAAACCAGCCAATGGAAACCCTGTACATCAGAACTGTCCAATCCGCTAAGGATGATGGGATGATGCCTCATTCCCTCCACTGTGCATGGCATCGTCTCTGAGTCGGGGCTGACCTCAGGTGAGTGGAGGCCAGGGATGCTGCTGAGGTTCCTACAACACATAGGGCAGCCCCCACTGCCAGTGTTGCAATGCCACACCGGAGGAGACCAGTGCTAGTCCCTCTTGTGGAAATGGTGGCTCAGGGAGACTGAGACTTGCCTGGGGTCAGGGCGCACTAGAGGCAGCATCTCACAACCAGCCCTAACTCTCTGCTTTAGCAGGGGAAGCAAAGCCCAGGTGCCTCATCAGTTCTGAGGACGGAAGCACAGCTTGAACTCAGTTGGCTGACCTACCCAGTGGTGTGCCCATCCTATCTGGGGAACACTCGGTGGCCAGAAATGAAGATCAATCCCACCAGTGAAAATCCAATCCAGTGTAAGCTAGCTCCTGCGATTCTGGAGCAGAACGTGTCGCGGATTAAAGGCACCCCACAGCACCCTGGAGAACCCCACTCTCTTCTCTGACTTCCACACAGTGCACTCCCCATCCCCTACCTCTGCACCCCGGCAGGGCTCCTCAGATTGTGACGGGCACAGCTCTGGGGCTCTCAGCGCTCACTGCGTTCTGGCTCATGCTACATTACACCCCTACTTTCCCAGGAAAGCGTCTCCACTCTCCAGTAGGAATTAGTCTTGTGAATTCCAGGAAAATATTATTACCTGAGAAGTGAGTGATGCAGTATTGGCACAGAGAAATTTGGTAAACAGGCATTGTGATATGTGGGGGGGCGGATGGAGGGACAGGGAGAGGGGTGTTTCTAAATAATCTGGGAGGAAATGTGATGGAAGTGGGCTCTCTAATTGAAAAAATACTGCTCTTAAAGCCATTCTTAAAAAAAAAAAAAAAAAAGAACAAAGGTGTTTCTGATTTGGCAGGCCCACATGAAAGGCCACCGCACTGCTTCGTGCCTGTGGAAGTACCGGCAGGACCCTGTGCATCACTAACAACCTGGGAACAGCGACGGCAATCTACAGGAGAAACCATTTGCTGAGGCCTTCCGCCTCCCTTCCCAGGTCAATCACGGAGCCAGGAGAAGCAGTTCAGAAACCTTTCCTGCCGGGTGTTTTCCTCATTCACCAGCCAGCACCCCAGACATCCAACCATCAGTTCTGGTCTTCCCACTTCCTAGTCTGTCAGGGGGCTGAGTAAGACAAGAGCCCAGCACTTTCAAGCTCCCATACCTCTCTCCTGAGGCTGGTGGGCCAGAGAGGAGACCAGCATCAACCCAAGGAGATGTCTAGCTGGGGGCCTCCAGTAGCATGGTCCAGACCTCTCAGAGTCACAGGGTCTTCATCTCTAAAATAAGAGTGAGCCCCCAATCTCAAGGACGGAAGTAGAGAAAAGCCATACTTCTGGAAGAGTCTGGCAAACAGGCATTTAGAACATGTCAGCCACCTTTCCACTCCCTTCCTCAATCAAATTCGGTGGTATGGACCAGTACTGTTCACTACTAGTTAAGGTAAGAGGACAAACGGATGCTCCACTTAGCTGTGTAAAGTTGTCCCGCGCACAGTCTGCCCTGAGCAGTGGGAATGGCTCTAATACTCTTTTGAGTGAGTGCCAGGCACCGTGCCATGCATGGGTATGCACTCGTTTTACCCCAGGTGGGGTTACTACCTACACTTGATGCAGGTAAACCATCACAGAGCAGCTAAAGCAAGCTGTGAACAAAAGAGGGCACGTCTCAAACCTCAGCAGACCAGCTCAAGAGCCTATCCTCCACAATCCTTTCCTAAATGAACTTGGGGTGGGGGTAACTTCCTGCAACCTGACCACACGGCACCCACACCACCTGTCACCACTGGGGCAGATGGGGACGCTGAGGTCCACTGGGAAGAGAGAACAGCTACTTGGTCCCCAGGAGAGGAATCAGCCACGGCTCTCTTGGGAACGTTATGACCTTGATCTTTGAACCATTTCTTTCCAGGTGCTTCCTTTGATGCAATCACCATCAGATACCCTGATGAACCATGTCAGGAACAAGGTCCGGCCCCGGCTAGGGGGAACAGATTTCATCCTAATGGAATGTGGTTTGGTGAAGTGACCACCCAAGGTCACGCAACTGGCAATCGAGTGGCAAGGGCTGTATTTCAAGTTCGGTGACGCCCAGTAAAAAAGGTTCCACATTAGGTCGTTAGGGCTCTCCTTACAGATTCCCTGAGAAGCGACGACGGGAAGCCAACTCATCAACATCTTCTGACATTATGCTTCCGGGAGGGCAGCTGGACTAGACTCCATCTGCGAGTCACGTCGGGGCACTCTGGCTGGGCGCCCGCGACCCCGCACCACCGGAATCCCGCCCTCCAGACTTCCTGCCCCCCAAACTCATCAGCCTGACCAGGCCACCACGGGTGTCACTGGGGCGGCTCACGCTCCTTTGAAGCCGGACGGGGAGCCACGATCAGGCTCTGGAGGGCGAAGCGGAACGCGGGCAGACCTCTCCCCGCCCTGCCACGAAGTCTCGGCGAGTCGGCCAGGAGTGCAGACAGTCACACTGGCCACACCTGGCAGCCCGGCCCGGCGCGGGGCAGCCCCCGCCGCTCCCTAGGAAGCCCGACCCGGCCTGGGCGGACCGCGTCGCCCCTGGGAGAGCCCGGTCCGGTTCGGGAAGGCCGCGCCCCAGCCCCCGCCCGCCCGGACCCCTCCTTCCTCCCTCCTCGGGGCCGTCTCCCCTGCGGCTGGCGAGCACAGGCGGGAGGCGTAGTCCCTTCCCTTCCGCCTTCCCTCCCCACACACCCACCTTGAGGGTCGGGTACTCTTGGACCTTCAGGGTCATGGACAGCTGAGCAGCTGACTCCTGCACCGCCATCTTGAATTGGCCAAAACATTAGCGGGCGGAGGAGAAGCCGACGGGCGCGGGGTACGCTGGGTAATGACGTCCGCACCCTCCAGGCCGAGGGGGTGTGGCAGAGTGGAGGCGGGAGGACTCGTCTACACCAATCAGATTCGCCCAGCCGGAAGGGCGGTGTAAGAAAGCGCCCTCCGGCATGAGTGTCGAGGGGCGTCCAGCCGGACCAATCACCACCGGCCTCCATCTCTTCCAGCCAATCAGCCGGAAGCTCTGACAGAGCGGCTTCATTGTTGAACTATTTGGACTGGGAATGATGGTTTCCTCATCCTGGGGTCGCTCTGTCCAGCTCAGGTCTGGTTTTACGTCGGCCGCAAGGAGAGGCTGACAGTCCCTGAATGTCCCGAGGGTAGAGACGGTCGTCGGCCAGCTGAGGGGAGGCTTGGGAATGGAGTGGCAGCTGCCTGGCTCAGTGGGGGCAGTGCCACCCCTGCGGGCATCTGATGGTTTGCGGTTGCTGGCGCGGGCCGGGGACGTAAGACCCCGGAGGACAGGGAATGTGGAGTCACGGGAGACATAGGATCCTAGGGGACATGGAGTCAGGGGGGGACGTGGAGCCTGAACGGCGTAGGATCCCGGGAGACATGGAGCCCCAGAGAACATGGAACCCTGGGAGACATGGAGGCCCGGGGGACTTGACGTGTAGAATACGGTGGACTTGGAACAGAACCCTAGCGGCAACTTCCTAAAGCCATGAGACAAGGTGGTTCCAGAACAGCAGTGGCCCCTCCAGAACATCTGCAGAGCTCCTGTCGGCAGGCTGCTATCCCTTGGGCCCACATTTGCACTGGTGAACAGATGTTGGAGTCCTGATGTGCAGCGGTGGGCTTCCTGTTGGAAGAGGAAAGGCAGAGTACCTATTTCAAATGAACTCGCGGATAAATCCCCAAAGCACAAGAAGGGCTTGTTTACACTGGGGGCTCTTGCAGTTGATAACGTCTCTGTTCTTCACTCTGGTGCTAGTTCCATTTCAACCATGGTTTGGCATCAGAGTCAAATCTTTGAAATATGACCACTCCATATACATACATATGTTGTTGTTGTGTGCCGTAGAGTCGGTTCCGACTCATAGCGACCCAGTATAGGGTTTCCGAAGCTGTAAATCTTTACGGGAGCAGAAAGCCTCATCTTTCTCCCACAGAACAGCTGGTAGCTTCGAACTGCTGACCTTGCAATTCCAAGCCCGATTCGTAACCAATACGCTACCAGAGCTCCCATACACACACACACACACACACACACACACACACAGTATATATAACATAGTATATATAATATATAACATAGTATATATATATATATATAACATAGTAACACGAGTTTGTCTGCTCCTAGAAAGCCTTTTTCCCCGTATTAATCTATTTTGAAAACCTTTTTATTGTGACTTAAGTGAAGGTTTACAGACAAGATCATCAGTTTTTCCCATAACGATTTATAGTCTCAGAAATCCTATGTGGGGTTAGTATGTGTCAGAATCCTCTTGATGGCTGTGGGTTTGGTTTCTGCTTGGTTTTGTATACACAAAACTTAGCATACAATGACTTTTCAAATAAACTGCTTCTTCCATTTCTGAAAACTCTTTCCTGAAACAATTTTTTTTTTTAATTAAATTTGTTCTTAAGTACCTTGGAGTCAGTTCCGATTCATAGCAACTCCATGAACAACAGAAGAAAACACCGCCTGGTCCTGCCCTACCCTCACCTGATTTTGCCCCGTCAGACTGCTTTTTGATACCCAAACTCAGAGAACATTTCAAAGCAATGTAAACATGTCAAAAAGTGCTGTTTTAACATAGTGTAAATCAAGGAGCTCTGGTAGCGTAGTGGTTACGAATCGGGCTGCGAACCTTAAGGTCAGCGGTTTGAAACTACCAGCCGCTCCGCGGGAGAAAGATGAGGCTTTCTACTCCCGTAAAGATTTAC